ATTAAGATGATGCAAATACAATATTATATATAACATTATATACAATATTATATTACAATACAAGTTTATAAAGTGCAAATGTTAAATTTAATTTTAAATTATTAAAGATCCTATGGAATAAGAATTAAGAATTTTTGATAATTATAAATTAAAATAAATCTATGATATCATACATTTTTTATATCCAATTTATCAAATATTTTAGTCTCAAATTTTGGTTTATATTTATATTTCTATAATAGAAAAGTACTAATTACAGCAACGGTGAGATGGTATAAAGATATATTTCTAAGAATTAATCTTACTGTCTTATTGTATCACGCATGCGAACACATTCTTTTATAATTTTAGATTCATTACTTCTATCTAGCCGAAGAAGTACTAAGTCATTGCAAACTGTTTTCTCGTCCCAAATGCATATTTTATCATGAGTAATGAACTAATTCTTACGTGTTGGTACTGACTCATTGATGTCATGATGTGCAACGCCTCGTACATACTGCCTTCCATACGGCATTGTACAGCGTGATGAAATGCATCAGGAACTATGCTGTAATTACAAGTTAAAAGCATTTTTTACATAATTGATTACCGTTATCGAATCATAAAATAGAATTTTTGTTAAACGTATATGTATACATATTATATAATAATTGCTAAAAAATAAAAATAAAACTTATTGTTAGAAACTAAAGAAAGAAAAAATAAAGAAATATATAAATATTTTTTATCAAATTTCTAAAATCAATGCTCTGATTAATAGTGATGTAATTTATAAGCAATTTAAAAAGTGCAATATATATATCTGGAGAAAACTTGGATCGCAAATTTAATTAGAAATTATTTTCGTTACATGTAAATGGCGTGATTATATTGATGTTGGGTTACACATGCTAAGTAATGGGAGATATCATATAACATAATTATGACAGATTCTTCAGAGATATGAGGTATATTAATATTATCGTCGTTAACGATCGTATTGTTCATCTTTCCGCGAACGCAAGTACGAGGAACTGACTTCGCGTATAATGAAAGCGAAGCGCAATTATTGTAATTGGATTACTTCAGAGGAGATTGCATCGCAATTGTCATCTTCGCGTAACGTTTCTCTCGCGAGCTAGCTCGCTAAGCGTCACGTCAGGCACATAGCGCATCTAACAATAAATGATATAAACGTCGCTATTAAATTATGTCAATCTACGTATTTATATCCGTCGTGAGAGTGACAAAACGGAATGGTTGTCACATCCTTCTGACATTTATCATGTAGGATAGAGGATGTTGCGCATAAGTGCTATCCTGTACTCTTGTCATTTCGTATGATTAAAGCGCGTTGACACCTGTTAATGGCGCTTCGATCTACCTTTCCGCTTATTATACGTTTAACGTGACTATATAGTATATAAATATTAAGAGAATTCCTTTAAAGAAATATTTATTTTAACAATGGATTTTTATATAAAATGATATATTTATTTTTAAAATGTATATAAAATATAAATATCTTTATTAATATAATTTTACAATAAGATTATCGTGAAAAAATTCCAAATAATATTTTTATTAATATTAATGAATAAATTTGTAAAAAAAAATTTATTTTTATTTTAATTATAATCCTCTTAATAACATAAAAGCGATGAAATGATTTAATCTTGAAGAATAAAAAAATAAGATTTTAAATCTGTAGTTGTTTCATCGAGTAATTCCATTACGAGAATAATTACACATTTTTTTACTCATTTATCATTCATTCTCGGTAGAGTTCTATTTATAGCAATTACATTAAAATTATATTTATGAATTCATAAAGCATAGAAGTTGCATATGATTGCAGAGATAACGCGGTCGTTTGTTTAACGATAGTAGCAATTGTCTCGCTCATCTTCTACCGGTAAAATGGAGAACAGCTGTTTAGAAAGCAGTAGTGAAACTTTCACTAACAATCCGCAGCTTGTGTTAACCACGAAACGATAAATAAACCGTAATCTGCAGCATATCCGTTTCATTGAAACTGAGTCCAAGGTTACACATTTTATTATTATAGTTTAAAGTGATCTCAGCACGAATAAAAATAGCAATATGAATTTATTCATTTTTATTCAATTGCATATCGATGCAGCTATATAAAAGTAGAAAATATATATCGCGAGATAGGAAAAGATATTTTAATTTTTCGATATACATTGATTTGTGCAATGATAAGTTTAGCTATTATACGAGCCATGTAATAAAATATGATACATCTTCGATACAATATTGAAAATAAATCGATCCAATTTATTCTCGTGATTATATCCATACTCTTTCATGTTTCAAAAATTAGATAATATACTTAGCTACAGCCAATCATGTCTAAGTTGTCTGGTTTGATTTAACACTTCACTCGACCCTTTCATTTTCGATGACTTTCACCTAAGCGTTTATAATTCTCTTTTACTCGTAAAATTGAGCCGGATAATACATATCTTTGTTTGTTTATTAAAATATCAATTTCGTTGTGCTTATTTAACATTTATTATATATTCAACTGCCATAAAAGTTTTACATTTATTATTAACGACATTATGAAAGCGTGCAAATTCTGCGAAATGCTTTGCAGTGAAATTGACATTTCATTAAGATTATCTTTCAAGCGAAACTGACGTTTCATACATGGTCATTATGCATATCGATACTAATTATATATGTAAGGTGACGCGAATATAATAACATATATATAAGAGATACAACCTAATCTATATGAAATTTATTTTTTTCGAAAACAATCCTTTTCAATAGAAAGACAAGTTAGATAGAATGACGTGAAATAATGAAAGCATCCTCGAAATGTGGAAAATTGTGATTAAAATCACTAACTCATCAAGCATCCTTTCAATAGAGAATCACTCGTGGGATATTGACACGCGTTAACGGAACAATTTCGCCCATATTTATGAGCGCTGATTGCGATTTCACGACGGCACGTGGTTTATAACCAGAGCGGAGAAAACGCCGCAGGTGGATAACATGTAGCCGTTCGTTTGTGATGTAACGACGTTTATGTACATCGTGCACAACGACTCTGCCTTTTCCACTTTTCTAATTTCTTCTCGCGGAAGCGCCTGCCGCGCGTGATTCAGCGGCACGAAATGAAAAACGGCACATCGCCGGGTGTCGGCTCGTTAGAATGTACTCTATTTACCTTGTAAGAATCGCATGTATAACTATACCTCTAAGCCACAAGATGCCCATTTCGAAATAAAGCGTGCGAGATAATATCTCTATTTATGCAAATATAACGATTATTCAAGATCTCTTAGACACTTGTACTCCAAAGAAATTCTTATAAAATCAAAGAAAAATTAGGAAATTCGCTACATCTTTATATTTTTAATTCATACAATTATGATTATAGATGAATTTATTTGTAATTTTGATTATAGATTAATTTATTTGTAATTTTCTTAATGTACCTAATAAGCGAATTTTTTGAAAATAATGATTTATTTGTGACATAAATTAAATTCAAATAATAATATTTTTAATTATCCCCTTAATTATCAAATATTAATTTGATCTATTTTCACTATTTTTTTGCGTTTAATATTAAAATATTAAACTCACAAAAGGTGGAAATAGACTAATTAGTATACTAATGCGCCACGATTATGACATATAATGGAATTCTATAGTTATTATATACTTATTATTTCTTTCTAATAAATGCAAATTTATGAAGAAACGCGGAAATACAAAGTAAATAAAACCATTTATTGCGAATGTTTGCCACGGTTGTGATTTTATTAAACATATATTCGATACCTCTATTTGAATCTTTTTTCGTGCGTGTTGATATCTCAGTTTCGCAGTGCATATTCCAACGAGCGAAAGTAAATGATACTGGGAATCGGGAAAATAAAGTAACAGCGCAGCAAACTTTCGCAGTGATATTTTTCTTTCACAAATGATACAAAAAGAAAACAACTGTAACGTAAAACTCCTCTTTACGAAGATTATGCGCAATAGTATGCATATGAATTGCTAAATAGCCACTATGCCTTAAAATTAACAAGTATTATTTACAATATGAGAGTAGACAACCGCCGCTTTGAGCCCATTACAACGACGTGATTGCGATTAAATTACGAAATTATTGATTAAGCCATCTTTTTCCGAAAACTTTCTCCAAAATATGAAGCCGAATTATATTTTATTGGGAAGTACGAATTGTACGATATCATTAATTAAAGTTTTATCTGTAACTTGATGTTTTTCTATCACAAATATCAGATATCAGAACAAAACATTACTTCAAATAGAATGAATAACTTTTGATAATTAAAAATTTTTCAAATTATTAATTTCAAACGAGTCTTGCTTGAACAAACTTGCTTGAATTTTTCTCGCAATAAGGAAAAACTAGTTTTATTGGCATTAAATAATCTTTAAAATATAATTAAAAAAGATGATATATAGATATCTGATATATAATTATGAATGTCTATAATATCACGATGAAAATCACGTATATAATCGTTTTTTCTCGGATTTGTTAAACATGTCCGCGGATTGAACAGTCAAATCATAGAACGCATTAAACTCAAATCGATTCTCACACTTGTGACAGAGAATGCAAATAGAAAGTCCGGCGCGAATAGAATGTTGTCCTTACGAACGAGACCATGCCAATAAGAGCGTATTGCGGTTTCCTTGACGGTCGGCTCATGGTGAACCCTACTCGCGGCAAGCTTGCAAAATTCCACGTTGCAAAAGGCCGTATACTTCCTACTGACATTAACGTATCGGACATCGGAATTATTACCAGGTTAAAACAAGATACACATTTACATCACGGATTTTAAAGACATAATAAAATAGCATTTTTCAACTTTTAATATTAAGTTTAACTTTAATTTTAATCTATTCGAAAAAAAATAGGAAAAATTATTGAAATAAAATAAAATTAGAAAAAAATATTGTGAAATAAAATTTTTTTAATAATTAAAATTTTCGTCACGTCGCATCATGAGATTGTTTCAGAATAAAAATTCATACACGATGATTACAAATCGAGAATTAAACAGATTATTTTTAATTTTGAGTTAATCTTTCCAATTATAAAGAATATACATATCATACATAATGCAACTTGATGCATTATACGATACAATAACAACATTTAATTGAAAATGCCTCGAAACATTGCACGGATAGATTTGATTGACTTATAATCCCCATTGATTGCGTTTCATGCGACTCAAGCCTGCGTTAGATTGACATTTTGTAATCGAGTCGATTCGATTATTATTACACTGGGCTTACGGAGTTATGCTTAAAAAAATTCGCGGCTGCGCGACGAGATGTTTCATTTGTCTCGCGAAACCATCGTGGACACCCTTACGAAGTACGGTGTTAGGGACCTGCGAGAAATTGCTACGGTAATACATCGTACATGCGTGAGTATTGCGTCAGGTCGTTGGCTTTCACTCTCTCTCTAACGTGCCTCATAAACATTACACGATACTACAAACTGACGAGAAGTGCAAATCGGTCTGAAAAACGGAAGAAATCTCGGTCCGCCTTAATTCTCGAGATGCGAATAAATAAAATTTTACTATTTTTTAATGAAACCAAATTATTACGACAAGTTGTCGAAATGAAGTTCGTTTAAACCAAATTATTACGACAAGTTGTCGAAATGAAGTTCGTTTAAATATATCTATATTATTGTGTTAAAAAAAACAAGATTTGCAACGGTTGGATCCTTCAACGAAAATCTTCAAAAATACAAATACGATAAAAAAAATCAAATTTTGTCACCGATCCATGTAATCATACGCGCCCAGTTTCTCCTTCCAGTATCACATACGTGAATCTCCTTAATTTTCGTTCTCCGATTGCATATCGTCGACGAATAAAAATATTATCTATCGTTCGCGCGTTGGCCGAGACGAGTGGATATCAAGCATAAACGCTTCGAGACACGCGTTGGACGGGAAAAAGCGAAATATGCTATTATATATACATTATACGGTGCTATCGAAGCATGAAGGAGCTATCGAGAACAAGGACAATTTCGGAAAATCCCACGTTCCTTGCGAAAGTTACGGAATTACGTTTGTGGTAATAAAGTTGGAATAAGCTTCACCGAAACGCGGTTTCCTGCAATCGACGCGATGGTGACGTTAGATCCGTGTTTGCGCATCGCAATTACTTTTCACCGCAACTGTTTTCACGCGCCTTTCTCGCGGGGCGCCGATTATATCAAATATATTGCACACGCATTCCCCGCGTACAACGCATGCATTAAAGCGCTCGTTTGTGCCATTCACTCGGCAATATACTTCATATATTTCAGCTTGAGCGCCATCGCACGTGATATATATACTATGTATAATATATATTTTGCATATGCTTATAGATAATATCCTTTATACGCTTGGGCCAACATTACGATCTATCAACTCGAGATCCTCGGTTTAATTCGCGAGAGACTCGAGATAATATCGAATGATAAGTATCGACGATTCGAGAATCCGAGAATAAATTCTCAACGCTGTAACTCAGATCGTATCAATAATTATTAGCAGGGCTACCTCGGAGAAACTGATCGATCTGACCTACTGAAAGGGACGCGGTGCTGGCGGAGGCCTTCAAAGGCGCCACGTAATAGAATGCCTGGGGATCCCTCTGCGATTCCAATAATTGCAGTCTGTGTGGTTGCTGCTGCTGCTGCTGTTGCTGCTGCTGCTGCTGCTGGTGCTGCTGCTGCTGCTGCTGCTGCTGGCGGCGTTGTTGCTGCGCGTAGAGCTGCTGGGACTGCTGGAACAGCTGTGCCTGCTGCTTTCTGTAGAGCACTTCCTGGGGTTGCGTCACCGCCTGGCTGGGCGCTGACTGGGCCTGCTTGTAAACCGGACTCTGCCGCTGAGCCTGCTGGTACTGTTGAAGTTGCTGCAGACCGACTAGGGACTGGGGCTGATGGGCTACGAACGGTTGGAGTTTGTGACTGAGGCTAAAGTCACCTACAGTTTGAGGCAATGTCTGATAAAGCTGGGTATTGTACTGACCGGTCGAGGGATCATACACGAGTTCCGACTGGTAGATGGGCTCGGCGGCGGTTGCGGTTGCAGCGGTGACCGTTGTCTGACCGGTCAGCTTAACTCTCGAAGAAGTTTGAGGCGAGGCTTGAGGGGCAGCCTGAGGTCTCGCGGTGGGGTTGGCGGAAACGTGCGAGCCGATCGTGTTCACGTAACGCTCGAGTTCGGCGGCAAAGTCGAGGTGGGGTGTGCTAGTGGTCGTGGTGCGCAGAGGTGATACCGTGGGGTGAGTCTGGGCGTAGAGAAGATTGTCGGGGCGCTCGGTGCTGCTGGGGGAAACGTATTGCGCGGCCACTTGGGCGACGTGAGGCCGCGGGGTTATCGCGACCGACTGGGGCCTCTGACGGGTCACCGGCCGGCGAGTGGTCGCCTCGAGGGACTGATAGACGTTCGAGGCGATGGTGGACTGACCACGGAGAACGGGGGACGGTGTGGTCTGGTACTGCGCCGTCGGGGTGGAAGCTAGTCTATAGAAGGCCGGGTTGGGAGACGGCGAGGACTCGTAAATGGCGGTGGAAGGTGTAATTTGCACCAGAGTGCTCGGTCTCCTGAAGGCCGAGGGTCGCAGTTGCGGCTTCAGGTCTTCCTCGGTCAGCTCCTGGCTCGCGTCATCGTCGAGCTGATATTCCGATTGGAATATCGTGGTCGGAGCGCGAGTGGTTGATGATGGCTGATATGTTGGTCTCACCGGGATGGGTCGTTGCACGGGTCTGACGACAGGATAATTCGCTGGTCCAGAGATTTCCTCCTCCTCCTTCTCTGGCACCTCTTCCTCCTCGTCTTTGGGCGCGTTCGGGTCGCAGGGGTTGCCCGAAACGTAGCTAAACTCTCTCTTGTTGCCGTCCGGGTCGATGTAGCCGTACTTTCCGCGCACGACGCAGTCAACGCCGCGAGTCTCCTCCTTGAAAGAACCATCGGCCGCTTCGTAGCCGAAGGTAAAAGACCCGTCATCGTTGACCTTGTTGTAGTTCCTGATGGTCTGCACCGGCGGCGGCTTCGACGCGTGCAACCCGTCCTTAGAACGAGGCGAAGGAAGCGCGCGGGTGCGCGGTTGATAGATCGCCACGTCTTCGAAATCGTCCTCGGCCGCCTGGTTGTCCTGTTCCTGGTAATATGTTTCAGATTCCGCTCGAGGCCGGATCTGCACTCGCCGCGCTTCTGTTAGAGCGAGCAAACACGCCGGAATTACCTGGTAATAGAGAAGGATTTATTACAGTAGAAACAGGTTGAGATCGCGGGAATGTGGTCATTAACATGTTGATATGACGTTACGCGTGTTGCGCACGAAAGAAAGTAGTCGGCGCTCCTGCTGGATTAAAGTTTTTAAAGAAACTTCGCAAAGTGAAAACGGAAAGTGAGATGTGAACTTTCGGTGGAAATCACGATTTGCACCTTTTTGTATATTCTGCTTAAAATAGAGAACATTAGTGTCTCTCGGATCAATGTATAAAGAATATCTGCTTTCCAAAACTTTCCAATTTCTCTAACAAAAATTTTACTGATATCGTATCTCTCATTTTAATTATCACAAGAAGACAATTAGATTTACACTTTAATTCTTTTTAATATAATACGTAATTAACATAATATATTCATGTAACTTCTAACGAGAGAAAATAAATTGCAGAGTATTGTGTGAAATAATCAAAGAATTCTGGCATTTAATACCGGCACTCGTGTGCATCGAGAAACAATGGAAGCAGGCGTTAAGTAGAAGTGGACGATACATGTCAGACGCTCGCGTACCCTCGCATGTCGACGTGATTCTTTACCCGCGGCTAAGGGGGAAGTAGTTTTATCGCGTCACGCGATAGACGTAATCGGAGAATTGCTGGAACCACCAGAGGCGGAATATGGTTGTGTAGGCCAGCCCCGGTTAGTCTGGTTTCCAGGCACGAAGCCGGATCTGCATCACGGAGATACGTTTATAGGAAGCGAGAAGAGATGGGGAGAGCGAGTTTCGCGGATCGGTGAACGCGCGGCTCGTGTACGCGCGGCGAAATGTCTTATCGTTCGCTCGAACGCGACCGAACGCTCGGCTGTTAAACGCGAGCACGAATGGTTTACGGCCGGCGACAAGGTGGAGCCCGCTAGATTACATCTGAATTTTGCGCCGGCCCCATAAATTTGCTGCGAGAAATTTCGTCTCGAGCCCTCCTGAGAATCTTGCAAACATAAATAATTTAGATTCCTCTCCAATTTAATGGTCAATAAATTTTTTTAGGTTGCAATCTCCGACTCGTATGTAAATATACTCTTGCACAAAATTAACGCATAATTTTTTTTTCCACTTTTTCTTTACAATTTTTCTTTAAAATTTAAATATCAGCTTTTAAAGAAAAAATGAAAAAAAAATTATGCGTTAATTTTGTCCAGGAGTATATTTTATAAAATGAAAAAACGAGCAATTCCCAAAATTGGCCAAAAGAGAGATGTATATTGCGCTAGATATATTTCCTTTTGCAAGGAGCGATTCTTTTCCCTGTCGCTCTATGCGCAAACTCGTTGCCTGGCTGATTAATTATTTAAGCGTTGACATTCTCTCGACATTTAGCTAGCTTGGCACTCTTCACTTGTCGTATCCTACGTACGCTCACGCGTTTTTCCTCGCGGGGCTGACCGCTCAGCATCCTTACGGCTGACAAAACGTGGTCTCGACTTCCGGTAAGGCGGCTCTCGGTGAGAACCGCCTTGGCGCACATGTGTTACGTAATTTCTACTTCTCGGCTGACCCGAATACGGGGCGAGGCAGGAGCGCGGCCGACGTGCCTACCGTGAGAGAGAAAGAGATTCAGATTCAGAGCGTCGTAACTCGGCGCGCATGTCTCACCAGCCGCTTCTGGATCTCCTTGAACCAAGCCGAGAGCAAAACGCGCACAAAAGACAGGCGGGAACCACACCTAACGATGACCTACAGGAAACGCCGGAGCTCTCTTAAGCTTCTCCGAGTACGTAATAAAAGATAGCGAAGAAAAAACTTTATTATATTCTTTAATAGAGGTAGATCCTGGATCAATTGAAAGAGCCAGGGACACGAATTTAAAGTACGTACGCTTTCATGATGCGTGGAAAATTAATGAGTCTCTCTTAGGTTCTCAGGCATTTACATCTCGTTTTAATTGACGTTGTTAATAACGAGTACGCAATTAGTATCTTGCCGTTGAATTTTTATCAGAGTCGTAAACAATCTCCTTTCATTGTCGGCGAGCATTTTTATGAGGAAATTTTATTAATGAAGAAAATAATTGTGAATATATTAAATAATTCTTAGGTAATATTCGCATAAAATAATTCCGTGTCGATACTCGATAAGATCGATTCGTTCGATCTTCGCGATGACCGCATCGGGAATATTCGATCGAGAGCGTTGGTCCGTCCTTGAGACGCGAAGCCATGTCGTCCTGAGACTTTCGAATGATACCGTATGCCGCTACATGCTCTCTTCGGGCGTGCGCCGATTAATTTCCGAAACGACCCCGTGATAAAATGCCGACGCCTTTCCTTGCGACGACGCAGCTCGCGGTGCTCGCTGACGAAACACCACCGGACCGAATTCGACGCGGACGTGATAAATGGGCCGACGATGATGTCGCAAGCATCAGGGAATATACGAAAGTTGTCTCTCATAACTGATTATTCGGCCAGAACCCGATGCAATCGACGCGAATTCAATCGCGAACATAGGAATTATAGCGAGATGATTAGCTATTCAGAGATGCAATTCTATCCGGTCTCTCGTCACATTCTCACTTTCGTTATCTTCTAATCAGCGTCGCGAGAACACGCAAGAATCGATATGTATAATTTCTACAAATAGTGTAAGAAACTCTCGTAACTCTCGTAACTCGCTGTCATTATGATCGTCGAGGCAAACGCTGTCGCTTTCAAATTTTTAGCCGACTTGAAAGTTTTTCCGTCTAGACTTTTACGTGATTTTTCCCGGTCATTAGAGCATCGGATTAAACTGCTCCATTGCTTTGTCTACCTAGTGATTAGAATCGAACGAAATTGGTTACGCTTTTCTGAGCGCTCCCTGAAAATTGGAAAGGTCTTCGGTCGGCAGGGTAAACTGATTCGCGATTATCGGTGCACGCAGCGTTCGAGTTCCGACGAAATCGACGAGGAGACGTTGCAACGTCGTCATTATCTACGAAACGCGCGCACAACCGTCCGGACCACTGAAAGCGTGTACAGGCTAATGACTCTTCCATCTGGTCCGGGTTAGAGGAAAATCGTGACGCCGTGTTAGGGCTCTGTAATCAACGTGGCATGCCAGTCATACACAGTGAGAGGCACAGACACATTCGGTCCAGTTGGGAGCAATCGACTATGGCGCACCACGCCTTGTCTAAGTGAGCCCCGAAGCCGTCTGGAGAAAGGAAGAATCGTTGCGCCGCGCAAGATCCCCGCGTTTGCCGCTTAATAAACATACGTCTTGTTCTTTGCGTGAGTCCCTTATCTTCGATTTCGATCACTTCCGTGATGTTTTTCGCGAAACATTTTCGAAAGCCCGAACGAGGAGCAACGTGGAAATGCAAGTTACCGAACAATGTTACGAGATATTTGTTTCTCCTTGCATTGTGAGATGTAAATTATAATAAAATTATAATTCTAATTATACAATAATTAATTAATCATAATTACATTATAATTCTAATTAATTAATTATAATAAAATTATAATTTAATTAAAAGCAAAATATTTGTCAAAAAAAATTAATTACTAAACGCGCTACTGTTAATAAGTGCTTAGAGGCAAATGACTTGACATTTTAAAGAGATAAAATATTTGATATAGAATCTAATTAAAAGAAATAATATCTTTGATATGTTACGTCATGGAAAAATAATTATACACTATACAGCTGATATAGAAATCGTTGCAATCAAGGCCCGTAATCACTCAATTTTACGCCGAGTGCAATTTGATGGCGGGAAGCGATTAATAATAAGCTGTACTCATTTTACTCAACTAGAATCGTGGGCTTTTGGAGAATAAAAGAACCTTATACCGCGCCGCGCGTGGGATCAATCATGCAAGCAAGAGAGCCAATTACCGATCTATGATTAGCGGTGGTTCTAACACGCTCGTTCGTATGGATGTTTTGCGAAAAAAAAGCGGAGGAAGTTGTTATATAGCTCAGTTTGTATGTTTAATATTTTTCATATATAATTGTAAAAACGATCACGATTAAGCTAATGAATAAATATAATAGTGGTAAAAGCGTCAAGAAATAGGAAATGGTCTCTTTCACGGTGAAGGTGACACGTCAGTTTCGAGAGAAACAAAAAGGACTGTCGTCTTAACAAATGCGTTCTTCATATTTTCCTATTACACACACATGTATATGCATGTACAAAAACTCATATTGCATATATTCACATATGCAATAGACGCCGATTCCCAAAGAATGTTCCGCTCGATCATGTATTTCATACTAGGAAGTAATTAGAATAATTTGCCTGCAACTTTCCTCGCTTAAATGTCCGGAAGCGGCGGAAGCTGAAGCGATCGTGAATTTATTTCTGATTAACTCCGAGTTACAATTAGTAATTAGCGGGCGACTAACGAGAGAATTAGGTCTGCTATAATATAACATACTCGACGTGATTAATCGCATTACGCGCAACAGGAAGAATATATTCTGAGTACAGATATCAATATGGATTCTTTTAACGAATGAAAAATAATGAACGATGTAACCGTGAGATGCCATGAACTTTAATGAAGTTTATGAGAATGTATATGAATTTTCTATTCTTCTTTTTCTATATCATATTTTTACGTATCCGCGTGGAAAGTAAGAGTACATTCGTGGAGAGTAGGATGCTGTTTCCGGCAGATAAATTATGAAAAATGGGAGTGTAAATCTGGCTGATGTAGGTGAGGTAATTGAAAGGGAAACGCGATATCCGTGTCGAGCCTTCGGATTTAACTTTAATGCGGCAATTAAAGTTTATATCGATGCAATTTCAGACTAGGCTTATTGCTTACAGAACCAACGCAAGGTGGAACGGTGATGACGATGATGAGAAATTAATTCTCAGTGTATATTAATAACCGCGAGAGTGGAGATGACGTTCGACCTTGCGGATTGAATTTCTTCTCACATATCTAGGAACCACTGAAGCGTTAATCGTCAGATTGATCCTAGTAATATTAGTAGATAACTATTATATACATGTAACAAAGGCAAATCAAATAAGCTTGAAAAATCTGCCGTGTCACGAGAATGTTAACGAATAATAGCGATATGATAGACAGATGACGAAAGCAATCCAAATAATCCATCGTTTCTATAATTGTATTGTGTGGCGTAATTTCTCTCCAATCGACGCAATTCACAACTGACAGATTGCCTCTCGAAGAAACATTTCGATGGCTGCATCTCAAGGATTTACGACAGATTCGTTGCGGAATTGGACACATGGAATTACAAGAGATTACACACATCTAAATAGGAAAAAATGCAAAGTAAATAATACGATAAAAATGTATAAGATTGTTATCGTGAGTTTAACAAAGGATAATAAAAGATATATATTGCTATCATTAAAACACTAGGATTTAAAGAGGACCTTTTTATTATTTCAACACTTTGTTCGCATCTTCTTTTACGACGTGTGATATCACGATAACGGGCGTAAAACAATGAAATATACAAACGCATTTATCACGCGAGCGAAAGTGATATATAAAACATTCTGATTACATCAATGAGACCCCGAGGACGCCTTAAGGATGTGGATCATAAAGAATCAACCCGACAGGTTTCATTATCTAGGCGCCTGTTATTTTCTTCAACCGGTCTAACATAAGCCTCGATGGGAGCGACTTTCTCGAGTGGAGGAGGAGAAGGAGGAGGAGGCGAGGACGTCTCGCGCGTGCGATCGACGCGCGAGAGAAGACACCGGACGGGCTCTCCTGTCATCCCCTTCCTGGGCGAGGGGTATCCGGCGGAAGTGAGAACGAGGCGAGGGAACGCCGTTCTTCGCGCCTAGGTCATAAACGGTCGGTGCGATTGTTCTCACGTAACAAACGCCGGGACAAATATTTGAAAGTGCAGCTGGCGCGCGCCGCGCGCGCTCTCGGCGCAACAAAGACGGCGCTCTCGGGAAAAATCCGGGAGACTCGAGGGGATACACGTTCGCCTAACGTGTGGCGAGCGATTTCGCGAGAGACATGCGAGAGTGAACGCGTGACTCATTTCGTATGGGCGTCGGTATGCGCGCATTGGTATGCCGTTCGATGGTCCGTGCCCTTGTCTTTTGAGCGCTCGGTCTGACCACTTGCTAGATCTACTTGCGTTCCGCATCGAGTTCTATTCGCTCTCACTTTCTTCCATCTCGCCAGGGAAACCGCGCCAACGATTCGCATTTACGGGACTAATCAGCCTTGCGCGCTCGTATCTTAAACTTTCGTTTTTCTTTGTCATTAGAATGTCATACAATTAGCTTTCGTGCATTTCTTTTTAGGCTATCGCAGGAAAATTGAAAGTGAATAAATAAATATCCCAATTAATTTCTTTTTAGGCTATTGCAGGAAAATTGAAAGTGAATAAATAAATATTCCAATTAAGAAGATTAAAAATATCGGATATTTGAATTTGTGTATATTCTAATTTTTTCTCATTTATTTTATGATACTTTTCCATACATTTACGTTTGACCTTTTATTCCTTGACAAAAATGTTGAAGCAAATAGATTTTAATTTGTAATAGAAGGTTGAAAATTTTTCGCGAATTAAGTTTTTTATACACATATCATTAATAAACAGATTAATTTAATCTATAATTATAAAATTCCAGCTAGACTTTAATTATCTAGAATCTTGAGATTAAAATTAAAAGAATTAACAAGTTAACAAGTAATATTAAATATAAAAGATTATAAATATATGTGATATATATATATATATATATATATATATATATATCCAATCAAATTTCCACGTGAAAGATCTACTTGGAATGAATCGAGCAACCTCATCAATGTAATTGAGGGTTTCATCTTTATCGTTAGACGCGATCTCAGTAATATGTGCAAGAATCTCCGATATTTCTAAACTACCCCATATAATATTTTGTTGCCTTATGCGGCAAACTTAATGCGTTTGCGTGCATCCACAACACCGGGTATAATTATAATACCAACGGCATCATATGCGTTTCGAAAGGAACGACTGCTCGAAAGATCGGCATGCCCTTAATTTATGGATTTGCCAGACTCATGTTGCGATACATTCTCGCTCTCACATTTTCTTTTGAACTGGCTGCCTAATGAGACTACAAGAATATCGTCATGGCCACGCACAAAAACAGGAAATCTCTCTTCAGAATGCTAATTAGCTGAATAGTTACGGTAATATTTCGCGCTGAAACCTTACATCGTTTTTTTGAAAAAATGACACCGTTTCTTATCCCGTATCTGCAGCGACAAAAACCGAATTCATCGAAATTGTATACTTGTTTCGTGTGTATTTCCCGTTTATATCTGTCAACTGACAGGACGGATTGACAGGATAGCGATAAGCTGAGATAATTAAGAAGCATGCGACAATCTGACTTTCTATTATATAATGACGCTAAAAAAATGGTCACAAAGAGACTTTACAATTCGCAATGGTTCGGGTGTTGCCTTTAAGACTCGCACCAAAGGATTTGCGGCGAATAGAAGAACAAAGTCTTCGAGAATCATTTATCGCCAAAAAATTCTCGTTGAAAGCCGGTGAGAGATTTGCTTCTATTATATATATTAGCCTCGCTTTCGCAATTTGGCGCTACCGAAGTTTCTCCGTTTGTTGATTCTCGTCGTCGGCGGGTTTCTAACGGCATCGGGAAACCAGGTTTCTCGACGAGGACCGTCGACAACGATTGCGATAGGTCGTCTTTCTATCGCGAATCGCATTGCATATCATCGCGCTCGAACGACTTTGCTCGAAAAGCGGGGAAAAAGCGCCACGATTTTTGTGACAGACGAGCTGCGTCATTGGAAACTGACATCTTCATCACGGTTTCTCACGATCGCCCATATCGGACCCGTTCTTGATTCATCTCGCAAGAAACACGCATTTTTTAACTCTTTCCGCTTTCGATATCAACGATATTGATCATCCAGAATTTCGATTGGCTGGATCGATGACGGGATATCGTGTCATATCGCTTCCAAGAGTTTCGCGAAAACACAGACGTTCCATATTTGTGATCGGTGAAAGTACCAATAATCGTACCAGACACTTATGTCGATCGATCGAACGATCGTGCCAATTTTTTGGTTCGATCAATTTAAAATGTTTCGATGAAACGCGCACGCATCTGGAGAGTAATCTTGTTTCCATCATGGCGATGTAAATTCGAAACGCGAGATATTGTTTGCGTATCCTCTATCGCAACGCATCTCACTGAGAGATCAGCTCAGGAAACATCGGCTGTAGGGAAACGAACGTCGCATAGAAAATGAATATGAATGATTAACAAGCGTTTAATTATCGCGTTACACGTCGCTAGAAGGGAATTGGAGAAATCGCCGTTGATATTCACCAACGGGAGTCTTATGCATTTCTTCGCACGATTCGCGAATTATGCCACGGTTCATGAGTGAAATCAGCGATTATTAAACATTCTCATAAGAACTTGAGAGACGCCAGGTCGCTTAAGAACGTGCCTGATAGTTGATGATTATGCGCTTTTGATTTAGATGCGCCAACGTAATCTATGAAATCTGGATTAGTCTCGGAAAGTCTCTCTAATATGTCGTTTGATTTACTGGTCGTCACAAAAGCTGTGGATAAAGAAAGTAATGTCGTGTCTGCGAACCGACCTGGGCTGAAAATAACAAACCTAGCGTGCTTGGTAACAATGTACCGGAATATAATAGACAGGACTTTCACTATCAATCAAGAGAATCGTGTAATGAGTGTAAAACATTCGAGAGAAGCATCGCCGTGATTTGAAAAATGAGGCTGTAACAATCGGAGCAGAATACCTGATTACTACTATTGCTCGCAGGGCTCGGGTGTTTCGCGAGGCGCGAATCTGTTTCCCATTCAACAAAAGATTACGTCGCTCGTTCATTAAGGTAACTGCCGATGTCAACAACTGCCTGGCGTATACAATTAATTCGCGACTATTCGCGGGAAAACAGTTGCAGTTTCGGATTCAACACTTTCCTCGCGCGCCTTTCGCACGAGTTCACGACAAAAGGGAGGTTTCCAGCGAAAATTCTCGTGGCTATATTTAGAACACCGTGTGGGCGGACACAATTCACTTTCCGTTGTTGTTAATCATGCGCCGTCTATGAATTATAAGTGCCTTCACACGCGCGCGCACGAATTGCAATAATGAACCACGTAGATCTTATCGAGGTCCTGACTTTTCTGCCTTAACGATGCTTAATTTCATGTAGGTCACAGGATAACGAGCCATGTTTTTAAAAAAAAGCCGCTGAGTCACAAATCACAATTAACGGTTCAACATAAAAGGTACGTTTTTTATCAATCTGATGTCTTACAATGAACATAGTGGATATATCATAGTGTAATGTTAATATGAATTTGATTACTTATTAATAATACAAACATATTTAATTAATTAATCTATCAAAATTTGTATATATTAGAGTTTCAATATATTGTATCTGAATAATTTTTTTAAATATTAAAAGATAAATATTAGCATATTTAATAACATTACACAAGATATGTTATAAATATTAAATTATTGCAAATTTTAAATAAATCATTTAGAATTTTTTGTTTTATATGCCTGAAGATTTGGAAAAAATTGCAATATTCAATATATTATAACATATATATATTTGAAATATTATCAATGAGAATTCTCTATCTATCTCAATCTCTCACAAATTTAATATTTTACTGATATTATATGAAATAAATGATAAATAATAGAAAAAAAATGAAACAATTATGAACATGTAACACTAAATAAAATGTTCAAAGTTATAAAGATGAAGAGCTAATCGAGGGGAAAGAGGACACACTCAGCTTTTTGATAAAATAATTTAGTACATACCAGCAATATAATCCTCATGGTGCACGCGTTGATGAAACGAGGAGGGGGAGGTATATATTTACTACTTGTCGGGGAATGGTCCTCCGTGAGTTTCACTGAGAGAGTGCAGCGGTATAGTACGGTGCTCGGTCCTTTATAACCTATACGAAGGCTTTTGCCTATAGTGGGGGCCTCGTCGTCCCGCGGATATAGCGGCTACGTCCTCTTCGACGCCGCGACACCCGCGAATTAGATTCCGGACACAGGGGGCCATGGCCAAATCGGCACGCGCCCCGCTGCCATTGCCAAATCTCTTTCCGATTGCGCGACACGCACTTACTCGCAAACGTGTATAGATGTAGATATGACACGGGAAGAGGTGACACATCGAAACACCCGAAAGGGATACGGAGTTAGGATCGAGCCAGGGTCGTGAGAACCCGCTTCTATGCGCGCAACGTTCCGTTGTGCTCCGTGTCAAATTAGATTGTCAGCGTATATTGAGGTGCGATATGTGGAAAGACGGTTGGCATCCAAGTAATAAGTATCCTCCGGCTATTTGGCAGAAATATAATCAGCACGCTAGCGTATTAATTATTCATCTGACGCGGCCTGGTATGTTATAACATGTAGCAAGTTACTTCCGTATGACATATTATTTTAGTATTGGTCTATCTAGTAGACCGAAATATCGTGTATTTATAATACACTTTAAGACACATATTTAATACATATTTATAATACACTTAAAATTAGCCGTACGAAATTTAAAATTGCAAGCTATTAAGAATTGTATTATCAATCATATTGTTATGTAACAAAGTGGCACATTTGTTCGTTCTATCGGAGTTTTGTTAAAAATAATATTCAATCTTTTAATGCTCACAAAACGGAATCATTATCAATTCAAAGCCCACAATCCTACATTGCCTAATTATAAGTGCGTGCAAATAACGTGTATTGTATGAGTGCACATAACGGATTGGTACGAAAGTTTAGATCGAGCGATAGACTAGATCGAGCAGGGTCGTGAGAAAAATTTGTACACGTAAGCGGATATATTCCAGATACATTCGTGACTTCGTACTTATATAGGTGTTCCATGAAAGCCATTTTTAATACTTTCTTTACAATACTTTGTAAAATTTTTAAGTTCTAACGGATACTTAACACAATATATATTTTAATACTCTAATTATGATGGTTTACTCAAAGCTGAAAAATTACAATGTCATACGTGTCTCTTCCTCGATGCAAATAATTACAAATATTGCGCAAATAATGAAGACTTTAATAATAATTAAATGAATAAATAAAAAAATTTAGTAATTAAAAATATAATGATATTTTTGCTTATAAAATTTGTTAATTTATGATAATAAATCGGGTCGAAAAAATTTTATTTTTCCATCTCTGTAAGATCATCATTAAATATCTTTGTGAGATTGAATAAAATAGAAGCGATGCAGTTTTCTAATAATATCGCTGATTTTAGCATAGAATGTTGCCAGAATGGCAGAAATAGTCTTTTGAAGTGCTAATCTACTGGATCATAAATGCGATATGACTGGCGAGAATAAGAAAGTGACGGCAAGACCGTATGGAATGGCTAACATTGTGGCTAGCGTCTCTCGGGTACCGCAAGAACGATGTATATTAATTTGGGAGAATCACAGGGTAATTGATGTTGCTATTTTCTTACAGTTGTTGCGAAGCATTCGCACCATTTTCTAAAGCGTAGAAGACGGTGCGCGCTTTCGCTCGTGTATTATGGACGAAAGAACACTTAGAACGGCAACTAATCGGTATAGTCATCGATTCCACATATCTGTCAAAGAAAAAGAAAATGGCAAATAGTGTTGATTGCCCGTCAAAAATCTTAAAGTCAACTCCAAATAAAAAAAATGTCTATAAATATTAATAATTAAATGCAACTACGCCGCAGGTTTAATTACAGTCTCTCGTGCAAGTGCAAAATAAAAGTAGATAAACACGCGAGAATTGCACTTTCATATCGCAATTAGCTTTCAAAATTTTGCGAAATTGTCATAAAATTTTATAGATATGATAAATAACGAGATATGCAACATATATATAAAAGAGTCTTATTTCATCGCGAGATTTATGCCATATCGCGAAGCCGGTTTCTCGGAAGAAATCGTATTCAATCGCTTTCATTAAATCAGACGGAGGAGTATTCGAGTTCGCTATCATCAATGGAAAGACGAGGCGAATGGATGAGTTTGCAACGCCGCCGGCACACGATGTTATTACTTCTTAGGGCATTGATTCATCTTCTCGCGAGGATCGGAGCGCGCGAAGCAGTGGCACGTGCCTAGACACTCGGTTCATTATCAATGCTGCGGTATTTTCTACCGCACGCTCAGCTGATCGTCTTTAACTTTGGCTCGATCTATCTGTATACAACGTGACGGGAATGAAAGTTGCTCTAGTAAAGTAATGAAAAACTCGTATAATCGCTCGATTTATAATAATTAAGGTATGTCTCTCTTTTTGTAGTAAATAATCATTAATAATTATTAATAATTAATAATGGTGTGCATGTATTACCATATTTTTTAACACTATACAAATAAAATTTTTCCGGTTTTTTATAATCTTTTACAATTTCCATATAATTCACAAAACATTACATATTTCAGGACAAGCTGTGTGTAATATATGAAAGTATGAAATTTTCGAATATGTGTAAGAAAAAATCTCTCGTAAAAGAAAAAAGAAAATAATTTATAATAATTTATAATTATTAATAGAATACAGAATGTATATGTATATATCGCGTGATAGGTGTATCTTGATTAGGTGTCCATATATATATATATATATATATATATATATATATATATATATAATTCACATTATCAATACTGTGGCATTTCCTGACGTGATCGCGAGCGGATTTCGCGGCGCTCAGCTGACCGTCTTAAAACTTTCGAAGGGGAAAGTTATTTTCACGTTGCTATTTTCACACTTGCACTACTCCGGTCTTTATGGTAGCATTACATATCTTGGTTACCCTCTCGTAACTTGCGTGCAAACTCGTAATTTAATCAGTTTTATTTCTGGTATTACGCAAAAATTTATTCGGCTGAATATCACTCTTTACGTTATATTTGCGTGGAACTCATCATTATTAATTATCATTATAAGTTATGAAATCTTCCTTCGCGATCAACTAGCTGAATTATTTAAACAATACACATTTCTTAATAATAGCACTGTAGATAATGTAAATGATAAATTAAAAAATGCAAATTGAACAGAAAATTAAAAATTAAAACAATAGAAATATAATTAATAAATTTAGAAAATTCCTAAAATTAACAAATTGTAAAAGAATATGTAACTCAGATAAATATAAGTAAGCTGTGAATTGTAACGAGAGGTTTTAATTACTTCTTCCCCAAATTTTCTCCGAGTCTCGATCGAGAGTCACGATTGCTTGCATCAATGCTTGCATTATCGTAGATTTCGTGCAACTTCTACGGGGAACATAAATTCAATCGAGCTAGGTGAAGCCTGCCAGTCTGTCGTCTAATGTTGAAATCCGATGGAACGTTTTGCGTGACTCGCCTAGCTGTCAACGGCCCGTTACGAGTAGCGCGTATAATCTCGTAAACCACGCGTGATCCTGCTTTATTAATAAAAAGTCTTATAGCACGACAATCGTAATTACTTCACCATTCAATCCATTATTGTTAGTCCAGACTTTGCGGTTTAATAAGAATGATAATAATTTTAATAAGAGAATTAAAATCGCATTATGAGCATTATTTCGATAAATATTTCAGTTTCCCAAGAAATAAATGTCAACAGGTTTTATTACTGGCGATGTATCAATATGTATAAATACTATTATGCAAGCGTCGCATCTTCAAAGTTATTGCGTGAACGATTATTTGGCGCGACGCCAGGATAGTTATTGCAATTTGTCCTGTAATCGCGAAAACGATCTTACTCTTACTATTGCATTTCGTATAAATATACGAAAGATGCCCTTCGTTGACGAGGCAAATGTACGAGTATGCGAGTATTCACCTTGCAAATCGTAGTACGTGATGGGAAAGAGAAAGAAGGTATTTATTATGCACTTTGGAATGCGACCCTTGAAATGCGTAATACGGCATAAATAATGCAAACAAGAATAAAATTATTGTACTTTTAAATGAAAAGGAGAAAAACTACAAAAAGATATGCTGCAGAAATTACATAAAATTGCAAGAGCATAAATTTTAAAATAAATTAATTACATATTATAAGTCGATAAATAATTAGATAGACACATATAATTATAATTAATAGATAAGGAAAGTGTCTATCATGTCTTTGCATAAGCTTATTTCTGCTGATTACTCGTTACGAAAGGTATCGAAAGTTAAAAATTTGTAGAAATTGCGGAATCAGGAAGATCGCTTTTTATATCGAGAATTTACAATATAATTCACATAGCACACGCGCGTTGAATTTTTGCGCTAAATCGGTCGTTGAAAAAGATAGAAAAGTATAACGCGGCCTTGCTTACCTTGAGACTTTCTCAGAATGAAAGTAGAACTCCCCTTTGTTAAGTGCAACACAAGGCGCGATAGTGTGATAGATATTTCTAGAAATAACGGATGTTTCGAGAAATATTTGGCGAATCGTCATTATGGCGAAATTACGAGAAACCCCATTCGTATGCGGTAAACAGAGCGTGGGAACATGTAATTTTGGTAATCCAAAAGCAGAAGAAGATATAAAGGCCAGATTCTGCCCGACACGAGAATTTATCCTGTGAGAAATCCGTCTGGTCTCTGCTCGCGATATTTCGCAATCTTTATGGAAGTCAAAGAAAGGAAAGATAAAATCGCAACCGCATGCAGTCGTTTCTGCAACAATGTGGCTTTGGTTGTCATTGTATCAGGCGTCTCTAATTATACTCGGGTACAAGAACATCGAGAAATGAAAAATAATATTGCGATAGAATTTTAAAAATATCTACGACAGGAATTCTTTCCGAGAATATCTTCAAAAATAAAATATCTATCCAAAATATTTGATAATTTATGCCTTTTTTTAAGCAGAATAAAATTGTGGTTGTGTAAAACAAATAATTTTTTTACATAAAAATATGTTTCTTTAAAATAACGATGCAATTGTATTTTATACTATGATTATTGTGGTTTAAAATCAATTTCAATCAAATTTCTTTAGCGTGTTCTTATAATATGCAAAGGACGATAATTTAGAATCGAGTATAGGTATTACATACGGAAGTGTTGTCTTTTTTTATGCTCAATAAATATGAACATTGAAAGTCTTTATGCTTAACAAGAAGCATAATTGGAAAAGTGAAATCAGGAAATTTTATTACACCGACATTATACGAGACTTTTACGCGTTCCATAGTAGTTGACGGAATTTAGTATTGGTCTTCTTTTATTCCACTCGAATTACCTTACAATAATCTAATTACAGTAATAAGCGCGTCCAATTAAGATATATTCTTACGGGACTCCGCCGTGAATACACAGCTCTAACGCAATATTTCATTGGTAAGTTCTTAAGGCGAGCCACGTTTTCTAGAATAAAAAACGAACGTGAACGCCTATTCAGAAAAGGGGAAAACGAGAAATTTTTTATTTACACTCTTTACAGAGAATGCAAAATTTTTACAACTTCTCTCGTTGTTACCGCTTATCTAAATAATTTTTGATGAATCGTGGAATGTATAACAATAATTTAAATAATTGATAAAAAGATGACATCAAACTTCCTAACATTATTTGACAGATTCATAAAAGCGAGTAATAAATGTGATTGTTGAAGTAAAAAGTCAAAGACTTAGACCTTTGTGTTTACTCTCAAAAAGTCAATATTTCAGATCTTATAATATTTTTGAGAAACTCATTTATATCATTTTATTGGACTTCTAAATTTTAAAAAAATGTGATAAAGCTAAAAATTTATTTGATCCGTGTCAGTGAATTAATCTTTGATATGATTTATTAGATCTTTATGTTATGAAATAGAGATGAGATCTATGATTTCTGTTTCATCTTAATTGTCGGTTAAATGGAATAAGAAGTATTATATAATTAATATGAAGAAATTATGCAATGAAAGAAATGGAATCTTAGCTTTCGACTCGTGATTTCAAACATCAATACAGTTCTCGACTTTCAAGTGGACGGTCTATTCGCGACAATCATTAATCATATTGTCGCTAACTTTGAAAAAAGCGAGTTACACCGTAATTACTGATAGGTCAATTAGTCATCGGGGCGTCATTCATGAATACCACACAAGACCAACACACAGTCGGGACACAGACGAGGCCGAAATCAGTCGCAACAATTCTAGCCCTTAATTGCTAAAAAGAAATTAACATTAAAATATAATAGATCTCTTTTCTAAGTAATTTTAAAAACAATTTTTTTAAAAAGCTTTTGAACTAAACGGAATTTTTTTATAGTGCGATTGATCTCAGACTCTTCTTGACAGACAAAAGGAGTAGGACTAGTAATAGCCGAAGCTGATGTCGTGCAGCGGTGGTGCCACTCCCTGAGGCAAAGCGTAATCTCTGGCGAGCTGGTCCAGGATGCCGCCGCCGCTGCGAGCCTGCGGTTGCTTGGAACGTGGTTCCTGGTTCGGTGCCGGACTGAATTGAGCTGGCCCCTGATTGTAGAGCTGCGAGGGTGGCGCAGGTTCGCTGTAAGTCGGCTCCTGTTGGATCAGCGAAGACTGTCGCGGCGCCTGGGGCGCAGCTGGCGTGAAGATGGGTGGCTTAGGTAGAGTTGGTCTGCTGGGAGCTACCTGTGCGGGAGCGTACACGGCCTGAGTGTGCGATTGAGACGGTGGTGGTTGGTAAGCCGGACGTGCGGCCACCTGTTGCTGTTGCTGTTGCCGCTGCTGATACTCTTCGTAAACCTGCGCGTCAAGAGCCTCCTTGCTGGTGGTCTCGTCGAACAGAGTTGGCGGGGCGACGGTGATACCATCACCGGCCGGCTGGAAGCCGTACTGATTCGCGCCGTATTCGACTATGCGGACCTTGCCGGTGTCGTCGACGAAACCGTACTTGCCCTTGACGTCACCGGTCGGTAACTTGGTCTCGATCTTGAAGGAGCCGTCAGCGCCTTCGAAGCCGTACGTGTATGAGCCGTCCTCGTTGTGGCGATTAATCTGCTTCAGGATCGCCACCGGGGTCGGCTTCGGATTCGCCGGTGTGGCCGATTGACGAGCTGGTACGTCGTTGCTCGCATAGCTACGCGGGGTCGGCTGGCTCGGTTGTTGTGAGTCATATTGGGCGTAATCGTCGACGTAATTACCGCCGGGTTGTTGGTACTGCTGCGCCGACACCGCCAGTAGAGCGGTGAGCACTATTGCTACCTGAAAATAGAAATGCTGTCAATGTGGTGGCTCTTCAATATTTAAGACGTGTAGAGTTCTAGATGTCAAAATGTCATAAAAGTAACAGTGTTTCAATTTTTCTTTATATCTTTCTAGTTACATATTTAACCAGCTTTCTATTGTCTTAGCTTTATTTTTTTTATTTTGCTATTAAATCATATTGCAAAAAATACTTTTTAATTTGATTTTATTAGATTAATTTCTTTTTTAATAGAGAGGAAGAGTTTACAAAAATTACATGCAAATATTGCAGCAAGTAGTTTAGGATAATTAAACATTTTAAACCGTTGTTGCTAAGTTTATCGACTTTTATATGTCATTCGATTGCAACGATTGTCACCTGCACACATAAAAAGAAACGTCAAGGTTTGATGCGAAATAAAACGGGAATTTCTTGGAGCGAATCGCGAGATGCTTAAGTAATGTTACGAAGTTGTAAACCGTTAATCTCGTAGAAATGTGTCACCATCTGCTGACGTGTGAATTTAAGGCCAGATATATATCTGGGGAACCTTAACCGCCACGCGCGTTGCGACACAATTGAGAATGGACGGCGCACAGCTCGAAACAATCCATACCGGATTTGGCGAACGCCTCCATGGTTGCGACAACAAACGAGTCTCGAGTCGCGGAACTCGCGTTATACGAACGTACGCGGATGTCGAGAGAAATGTCAATAAATCAAGTTATTAATCGTGATCTTTTACGCGTGACCTTATCCGTGCACGATCACGATTAGACGCGTGCCGATTCTAAAATTAACAAGAATAATTAATCAATTCAGTTGATCTGCATATTATGCTTCCTGCAATTCTCTAAATGGTGAGTGTGAAATGCCGCGATAAAATTGGAATTCAATTAAGCAACTCCGATTAATCAAATTAACTATTAATTATAATTTTCCGTCATTCGAAAGCTTTTCGCTTAAGTTTACGCTATTATTTATATTTATTATGTTGTTGGAGTTCATTATAGCGTAAAAATTTCTATCTCCTAAGATAATAATTATTAAATATGTACACGCAAATATTTTTACACTGCTAATTTGATATTAATTCGCTATCTTTATTTTTATTTTACGTATCCTCTATGCTCTATTTCTATTTTTTGCATGCTCTTAGGAAGCTTAAACTTTACATGAAAACTATAAACTTAATTTTTCTTCCTTTCCTCAGAAAAATGATTTAAAAAATGCATAGTATTTTTTACCGCAGGAAAAACAGAAAGGAGAATGAAAAAGATTAGTTCGTGCCTTGTATGGCGCACCATGCGGTTAATTCGCCATGATTAACTAATGCTGATGCAACTGGTCTCAACAATTGCTCGTATTCTCCGGCCATCGCACGCGACTACACTCGAACATAATAACGAATTATATAATTCTTTTTCCGCGAACGATACAAAAATGAATGCACCTCAGCGCTGGCGCGTTATAATCGGTGAAACCTTAATAAAGTTTTCCTCGACGTAGAAGAAAGTAGGAAACGAGATCACAACAAAGTTGTGCAACGACCAAGCGTTAACGTCGCTAACATTGCGATCATTTAATTTCTCACCATGAATTTAATGTCGATTTTAATGATTAAATATTATAGAAGGAAAAACGAAATCAAATAAATTAGCGCAAAAACTCGAAAAAATTGCAGTCGGTTATCAACAACGTTCTCCGGATTTCTGTTTTAAATTGTTTTTAATTTTAATAAAAATTTGCATAATTTCTTGCAATAACCTGCAATATGAATAGTTTCATTCGTTTCTATAAAAGCCATTTTATAAAATTATTTTCACTTCTGACAACATAAAATTATAAAGAAATGGAGAAATAAAAGAATTTAAATAATAAGGCAAAATATCAATTTGAAAATCAGAGTGAATTCCTCCCTCGAAATTTCTCGCGTGTAAATTTTCCAAGCGGGCGCTTTCCTCGAGTTCACAATATGGTTACACACTGATCACACAGTCACAATCACATCACACGCGATTTTCGCATTTCGAAGGCAACTATGAAAACTACATCCGAAAGAGTGTAATGACGACGTCATGATGTTGATGAGATGCACTTAGATACGTACCGTCGCGAGGGTGTGCATCATGTTTCCCCGCGGTCGGTGGTAGTGTTAGTGTATGAATGTAAGTAGGCAGCGAGGCTAGAGTACCGGCGATTGCTCGGACTGAGGCCCTCATATACCTTACTGGGTCCCCCCCGCTCCCTTCCTCTGTTCTCCTGTTAGCTCCGGGGGACTTTCACTATCTATTCGTACTCTTGTACGTATGTACGATCGCCTTATGTCGTTACAGCACCTTATATCCCCTAAATATTCCTCACCAGCTTGTTCTGGTTTTCTCGGAAATCTGGAAAATCGTCGCTCGGTTGATTGATTCGCAGATTCGTCAACAATGCGAATAGAATTTCGTCATTAATTCTTAGTAAGCTATTCATCGATCAGACTACTGTAAAGAAATATTAATATTGTTTTCCATCATTTTTTGTACAATTAGAAATAAGACGGTTCTGAGAATCGATAATGATAGATTTGGAAAAATTTCTTTTGCTCGATGATATTTTTTTGCGATGGACGTAATTAAATAAATTTTATATAGAAGTTAGCAGCCGACGATCATGTAACGGGCTCGACTGAAAAAATGGATCGGTTTTATGAAACTGGTGTGCCGAGTTTCTAAGGTGAGATATTATATAAAACTGGCGACACAGATTGAGACCGACGAAAGAGAAACGACAAGAGCACCGTTTCAAACAATTTGACAAGTGCACTCGTTCTTACTACTGTCTCGCCGTTCAGTCGTGGTATAAAAAAATGAGCGATTTTACCAACTCTGTATCATTCGATCTTTCGGAGTAATTTTAAGTTTCCAGTTTTGTATCGCTAACTGGACGGGTTCTACAACTCCTGTGTCACGCACGCTAATTACAGTTTTGAGAGCATACATGTTTTCATTTATACAAATTCATTTGAAATTAACCTGTAATTTATATTTTAAGCATATGTTTATTTGCGTCCGTTTTAATTATTTTAATATTCAAAATTATAATGATAAGAAATTATTAGCTGTCAAATAAACATAGAAATTATTAACTGTAAAACAAATATAGCTTGATATGCAAAAACCGTCATATTTTATTTAAAATCTATATTATTTTCTTAATTTGAGAGCGAATATTTAATCGCTATACTTCTCATATACTTCTTTAGCTTATTTATTAAGAAATTTATTTATTAAGTTTATTTATTAAGAAACTTACATTTATAAGGAAGTTATACCAAATGTAAATTTCTTAATATAAATAAGCTTGGTAAGACTTCTCAAGAGGTAAAAGCATTATTTAAAAAGAAGTGTTAATCAAGGTAATCAATATCTCGTATATATGAGTTTCATGACGCATGCTTGACCATCAGTCATAAAACTTAATGAGGAGTAAGTTTCTTTACGGATTATGCCACTGAAAGTACTTTCCACCGAAATCTTTCTGCAAACGTGTAAAATTATACAAGTCCGTTCACTGAAAAATCAAGTATAATCGACCACAATTCGAAGCATCGACTTTACATAATATCAATTTTAACAATATATTATGTCCCGTGATATGTACTTTCATTCTTGTACAAGTATCTCGAAAAAGAGAAAGTGTTATTACGTCGCTCCGCCCTGATTTGATTACACGCGTGTTTGCGAGCGAAAATTAAAAATTCGATTATCTGGGTTTGCATTAAATTCCGCGCAGTAGCTTTAAGAACAGATATTACGACATTGAATCTCAAAATATAATGACTATCACGGCATTGAATCTCAAAATATAATGAACGTGACTCCCATTCGTCTCCTTGAAACTGACCGAATGCAAGGTTGAACAGCGATTCGGTAAAATGGAGTACGGCCTTTGCAGACCGTCTGGACACACACCCGTGTTTGTGTGTGTTTTCAGCCGAGTTTGCGAAATGCACTGCGGATCGCCTGGGTTCCGCCTATGAAATTATCTGATGGATCGATATTTTGTAACTTTCTATCGGCACATTAGACGGCGACTGACTAATATTGCCGCCTCATTTTATTAGCTAATATTTCTCGTAACATCTCGCATTATTTAATATTATTATAATATTATTAATTATTTAATATTTATAAAGTGTAAATAAGTCATCGCATATTAAGTAATATTTTTGATATAATTTTTAATTTATAATTTTGATCAATTTTTTCATAGTTTTAATATATTTTATAAAATTAAATTATTTATAGTATAATACAGAGGTAGAATACAGAGACAGATATGTGAAACATGAATTTAGTCAAGTGTAAATATGCAATGTTGAATAAAAAGAATAAAGAAAGAACAGCATAGAAGCTTTTTATTTCCCAGGTTTCTAACGCAATTATGTCTTCAAGGCTCTAAAGATGATTACGTCGATGCAGTTTAACGAAGACTTCCACGGGGCGTATTTTGCGATTAAGACCGACGATTATTGCTTGCGAACGACCCAGATTATGCCTGCATTCACAATTTCGTTCCACCAAAGATCTATTTTGCCCCAATGCCACTTGGTGAAAGGGAGCTCAAGATCGGTCAATTTCGTATGACCATCGAAAAAAAGCATTAAGCCTATAATGAATCAATTAATTTAATCACTAGTCTTACTTAGGCAAAATGATCTAATCTTCCCAATTGTGTTAACGAAATACAATGTTTTAGCTTTTAAAGTTTCGTCGAATTAATCGTTGATTAAAATGATATCGATTAATATTGGTCATTTTAAGAAAGCAGTAGCGTATTAAATATTAACATCAGAAATATTGATAAAATATTTCAGATGATTTTTGAATTAGATATTTTTCACAGGAATTCAACAAATAATTACATTTAAATATTTTTATAATAGTTTTTTTCAAAATATATTGAAACGTAAAAATGTATTAAATTCATAATTATACAAGTATTTTAAGAAAGATCAGCTGAATCTCGTTACAAATTTTTTTTTTAATTTAGAAAAGGATACTCATTTGCAAACATAAAATACTATAATTTGTTACGAAATATGAAAGATCTATTGAAATGCTTAATGACTGAAAATCTCGCTTTTTATGAATTAATCTTTTTGAAAACAATCGCGATGCTATCAGTTCTGATACTGTAATGTAGATCCTATTTGATCGAATTAATTCTTTGATATGTGATCGTAGAGGTTCCCAATTTTTCATATCACTCTATTTTTAATCAAGTGATCGGTAATAATTTTTTCTCGAATTTCAAAACGCAATTTTCTATTTTTCTATTCTTTGCAGCTTCCTCCGAGATTAATGTTACGATGCTTTCCATTTTTATGCAACAGTCAGAAGTGATTGTCCGTGCCTAACGACAACTCGATCACATCGCTTGCATGGCAACTGGAATTCTGACCTGCAAAAACTCGATAATGTGGTTGGCGTTTATTATAAGAAAAGGTGACGTGATTAGCGCCTGGAGTAAAAGAAGTAAAAGAGTCATTCTCTATTCTTGAGGCACGTGCGCGTATTTAGATAAAAACGATTATGAGATTGTTGCGTATAAGTCTGTATTCATCTTATTTACATTTTACATGTAATTTCAAAGTATTACATCTATCTTATATTAATGTGATGTAATTTTGATGTTGAAAAATCAACACTAAAATTATTTTTTAAATAATACCAACAGTTATTTTTTTGTTAAGATATGCGATAGAAAAATAATTAAATCTCAAAACCAAATTAATTATAAGTCGCGAAAGTTTATTACGCCATCAATATGTAGTCTTATTTAGCTATTAAGCTATTCAATATTAGAAAAATAATATAATAGATACTAATGATAATTGAATGGGAATAAATCTCATAAAGAAAACATCATTATCTATATCAATTAAATGCATTACGAATTTTATGTTTTTAATGTGAGAACGGACGTGAATAAAGATGCTGTTGTTACTAGTAATTGATCGTAATTTATTAAAGGTCGCGTGTATAAATTACATGAAGAATTAGGATGACGCGAAGCGGATGTTTATATATATTCTCTTCTATTTTTTCTCACGTATCGCATGACATAAAATTTAAACAAATTAATATGCATTAATACGCATATTAATATGCAAAAGACTAAATAATGTCAATTAAAGAAATAGAATGTGAAAATTTGAAACGCTGAATAAGCATAATTATTTTAATATAATGTCGCATTATGTTTTAATGAGAGATACGGATGACTTTTTCGTGACGAATCGAGTCGTTTTATAATTATATGGTTACGATAAAAAGAGGAAAGTTATACGTGTTCATTGCGCCGGTAAAGGAAAGCAAGTCCTGCCGACATCTGGCGCACCACGCCTTGCATCAGAATGTGTCTCGAGAGTGAACGCGGATACTACGTGCACGCGTATCGCATCGCGATAAAATGCATATAAAGACAAGGAAATGAAAAATCGGTTATCAAAATCAACAAACTATTAAGTATGTGCTTATGTGTTGTATGCTATCGTGTATTTGTGTATTTTTTTCCTAAAGACAATTATTTTAAAGTATCATTATAGAATATTATGAACTCTATTAATTAACTATGTATTTGTATTATGTTATCTATTTTACGCAATATTAACGTAATAATATATATAATAATATATGCACTATAAAAAATAATAATAATATAAAAAATAATAATAAAAAAATATATATACATATACTTTTTTTTTACCATGAACAAATTGATTTTATTTTTCCAAAATGTTATGCATGTATTTTTATTTTAATTATATTTGTATCAGTTTCATAATTTTTTTTAAATAATCGATTTGATCGATCTATGAGTCGTGATTTGAAGCCTGAAAGCAAAAGGAGCTATATCAAACTTTTCTCTGAATACATATGTGTTCGATTGGACAGCAGGCACTTGATCGCGCAACAAGATCGCGTAGATCGCGGATTATATTGTGAAAGGTGGACTTGGGCGGTGGTCCACGGCTCTCCACGTATCAGGTATGCGCAACGCGTAATCCTCGTACGTGCAGTTTTAGGACCCCAGATCACAAAAGCTGAAACATGACAGTGGCACGAGCCAATTCCCGTTATATCCACGCAAGAATTGACGAAAGAGAGTTACTCTCTCTCTCATCGAATGATATATCAAAATAAAGCTTGAGAAAATATATTTTAATGCATTGTGTGCATTTTATTAAATATATCCTATCTTGTTCGTATATCACAAAGTTTTTTTTTTGTTATTTTATCTTTTGATTAATATACTATATGATATTATATTATACTACATAATATTATATTATTTGATTAATATTAATATTATATTTGATTAATATTCTTGATGTAATGAATAATCTTGATGTTATTTTTATTATTGCTATTATCATTTTTGTGATATCACTTTCGTCAACAACTAACAATATTGTAGTCAAAAGTTCCAAGTTCTATAAATTTCCAAGTTCTTCATGTACACACAAAAATGTGAAACATACCTTCCTGTAATGACGAAATGCTATATTATGAATTAGAATCCATTAACTTTTTAAAAATTAAAATGAAAATGAGTCCTAAAAAAATGCAGATAATAAAGTCTCTCAAATACTGAAGATTTGATTGATTTGTCGTGAAGATTTTTATTAAGCATACTATCGAAAAGACTGACTGCGAAGGTAGTACGTACGGGTGCCTTTAAGCGTTACACAACGATAAAATTCTTGGGTGTGTCAAGTATAGCCCAACAGCGTTCCTTGTACGCGGGAGAAAAATACTGACTGCGTTTTCAATTATTAAATAGAAGAATTTAGGAAACTCCGTTAACGTTGCGCATGCACCTGACGCATACAACTGAAATTTATTGCCAAGTACTTACGTTGTAATTAGAGATGATTCAATTATACACATATATTGCTCAATATATCTCGTTATAAAGCCGATCAAAATCGTTCAATATTACCTTTTTTGCGAATCGTCAAGTCTGACGCGCGATATTGATCTTGTAGATAGTATCCTACTTACTTCGCTCGGTTTGCCTCGCTTAATATTACATGCTATTTTCACATGTTGTATATGATACGTATATTTAAATATATATAAATAAGATTGCAAGATTGATCTGTTGACGAATTTCAAGTTACTTATCGAAATGGGTGAGCATAATACCAGAAAGCCTTTCGTATATGGTCACATAAATTAACTTCATGCTGATGTGTGTCATTGCAAATGAAAGAAGGAAAAAGTAAACACGTGCAAGTTGAAATTAAAAACAAATAAATCATAGAAGAGCTGTAATTTTGCTTTAATTAATTATAGAAAAGAGATAGAAACTCTTAAAGCAAAAGAAGTAGAGGAAACATCGGAAAATAGAGGTAGAAAATATCGTCTCATTCGAAACTCGCGAGGATGAAAAAATTAAGTATAATCCAAAATACACACACACAAAATTAGTCATAAATACCTACCAATGTAACTGTATGCCATTATCTATCGCTAAATTAACACATGAAAAATTAATCTGTTACCGAGAAATATTCAGATAATAATATTAATAATTAAACAAACACACGTTTAGACAATAACAATCTTAAAATATCGATGAACAATGACATATATGTACATACACATGACACAAAAAATTCTCTCTTTCTCTTACTTTTCTTTTTCCTTTCTTATTCCTTTCATTTCCCTTATCGTTTGTAATTAACTGTGTAAGACGCTAAACCGGCGTTGACGTCGATACTGGTCGTGGAGTGTCCTTGAGGACGGGCTGGAATCGCAGGTGAAGGATACGTGGATTGCAATTGCTGACCTTGATACTGTGGTTGATTCTGCGATCGATACTGTGGTCGATATTCCGACTGGATCCGCTGGCTTACCGTCGCCGGTTGATAATTGACGGGCGCATTATACCTGAAAAGTTAAGAAATTAGGTTAATCGACTCGATTCCATTCCCGTTGAAGCCGCGAAGGTGCGACCGATTCCCCCCCATCAAGTTGAACGAGTCACGATCTTGGTACTTTCGAGTAATTCACTTGACATTTAGTTCTCTGATTATCTCTTTGCGCTCTTCACGCGGTCAGTTGATCCTCCCACATGCATTTTAATCTGAGCTGTATGAATATTGATAAATGTGATAAATTAATCTCTTTCGAGATAGAAATTGAGGCAATTTATTACTGCCAAATTTTCGACGGGAAAAAAATTCTGATTCTCTTAAATTAAAAGTAAAAGCTACAAAATTTTGCGAGTATATTTTAATGTCAATATTAATAATAAAAATTCTGATTTAAAAAATTCAAAACGATGCTTGACATTTTTGAATATGTGAGCTAAGAATTATGATTACCCACCTCGGTTGATTGTAAGCTACTGGCGCCGGTGCCGGCGCGATCTGATTGTAGATGATCGGTTGTTGTCTATGTTTAGGCGCCAGTTCGTAACGTTCTCCGTTGGTGTAACGCGGATCGGTGTGATAGATCGCCGGGTCTTCGCGGTACTGTCCGTCATCCTCGGGCTCGTTCCCGGCGCCGGCGATGCTGTTGCCGGTCAAGGTTGGCGGGGGCACGTTTATCCCAGGACCGATCGGCTCGAAGCCACGTCTGGACGCGCCGTACTCGATCTCGCGTAAATTCCCTGAGTCGTCCACGAAGCCATACTTGCCATAAACCTCGCCGGTCGGATACTTTGATTCGATCTTGTACGAGCCGTCCGCTGCCTCAAAGCCGTAACTGTAGCTACCGTCCTCGTTGTGTCTGCAGAAAACACAAATGTTATTATATTGAATATTTTCAGACAGTAAAAAAATATAAATATAAATTAGTGAAAAATAAAACTATGAAGATAATTTATTATTAATGTATGTGATATAAAATAATTATTGCAATAAATTAATTTATTATTAATATATGTGATATAAAATAATTATTGCAACAAGAGAATTCGAAGATGCTCGTTGCATTACTTTTGCAATTGCATAATCTGTAACACTCACTTGTTTATTTGCTTTAAGATAGGCACCGGTGTGGTCGGTTGATACGGTTGATTGTGCTGGGCAACCGCAAGGCCGAGGCAAAACAAGAGAAACAGCACCTGGTGACACGAATTTGCATAAAAATTTTGGCAGCCGGAACACTTTCTAATGGCCTCGTATACGCATTCTTGAGGAAAGTTGAAATGACGTGATGATGACACACATTTCTGTTATTGTCGAATAATAATTGTTTATATATATTTGTATATTTTTATTATATATATTATATATTTTTCTAATGAGTTACGTAAAATTTGGACATTCACTATTGCATCAATCTGTTTTTTTTGCAAAAAAATGTAAGCATTGTTTTTTCATTTATATAGAAGATTTTTAATCACTAATCACTACCATTCTAGAATTCATGATTTTAAACGTAATTATTACGAGATTGTTCCTTTATCAAGAATGCATTTATAAATTATATAATTTTTGTATTACATAATATTTGCAATACAATAAATTTTACACACATAAGCATCATGTTTAAATATCATCTTTTATAATAAAATTATGATGACATAATTATGATAAATAATCTTAAAGATTATACATATATATTGTTTTGTCACAGGATGAAGGATTTTTAATTTTATAAACATTGCACACACGCACAGTCAAATTTCTAATGTATTATACTAATTATGCACGTCGTAGCACTCGGTGACATTAATATGCGAATGAACGAAAGAGAGAGAAAAGAAAAAAAAATGACGATACTCACGGGAGGACGCATGTCTGGTTGATGAGGCAGAAGTGATTGTGTTGGATCGCGTTATAAGCCAAGCGAGTCTACTTATATAGGCCCCCTTCGGGAGCGCCGGGGCCCGCCCATGGGCCCGACCTCCGCTTCAACCTCAGCACCGATCTCGATACGCGGCTTTGCCATACAAAGAGATTGAAAATTTCTACTACATCTTTTAATTTCAATTTTCACTCGTATTATGACATAATCTCGTTCGCCATGTCAGTGTATCACAAATATAACGATAGCAATGATGAATTGATGATTACTTAATGACTTAATTAATGTACATCGCAATAGACACAGTGTATTTTTGCGATACTCGCAGAATTTAAATTATTATACGAAATAGTAATCAGAATTACTGCTCGCTTTTTCTAACTTTCGAATATGTTAATATTCAAATGTTAATTTTCAAATGTTAATAGTTAATATTCAAATACATATACAAAAAAACTAAACAGGTTTCTTTACGCTGTCTTTTCGATATTAGCATATATTATCATTAATTGTTTCTTACGTCAATTACATGTTTGTACTTTTTTGAAACATTTCTATTTTTAGTAATAAAGTTAGATATCTTAGATATTTTGATATATTTTTTATTATGCAAGTAAATAATATTTTGATATTATTAAACGATGAAACTTTACTTAGGCTGTTATTGATATTTAATAATTATTACAATTAGGCAATGGAGAAAAATAATATATTATTATAATAATTTTACGCCATTTTGTATTCCATTATCTTGAAGGACACATATTGCGAGATTGAGGATAAGTAATTTTATCTCGATGTTACTTAAATAATTGACAAATATGCAATAATATCATCAAAGAAAGCCCTTGACCACACAAAATGTCCTTGATTTTCAGAAATGTAGTTTCGCAATATAAGACTCTCTCACATATTTTCATTTCAAGGATATCTGCATTCGCAAGATATATTTTTCGCTGGAGACTTCAATAGCGGAGACTTTAATGTCAGGGATTTTAACGCTAAATACTCAAGCAACATTAGGAAATAGCAATGCTCTAATTATTAATTATTTAATTTGCTTCTTAATTATTATTTATTGATTTGTATTTAAATGAAATATTAACTATCCGTTAACAAAATATTCAGATATATATTTTAAGAAAGTAAAATTTTATTATTGGAAGAAAAAATCTATTCTTTGAGATACGTTGTATATCCTGCTTGCATAAATTTATTTTATTAATTTTTCTATTTTTACAATAATAAATTATTTCAAATATATAAGTTATTTTTTTACATTTTTATACTTATTAACAAGTGGGTTGTATTGATGAACTGAATATCTCTTCAACAATGTTGCGAAAATGAGATTATCTTAACGATAATCTAAAAATCATGTCTCATTATCATAGTAATAATCTCAAAATTGGAAAATTAGGTTATTGTAGCGATTTCACATTTTGCGATGCACAATCGTATAAGCGATAAGATTGAATTATGTAATTATACGAATTGTTAGCTTAAACCAGAACTTTCTCGATCATATAAGAGAACTTCTTGACATTTAGCGTGGCAGTAATAAGGGTGATGCGGAATATCGCTGTGAAATATAGTGAAGTGTATTGCTTTTTTCTATCTTGCAGCGAACACCTCGCTTGTGAGAATCATACGATGTGAAAATAATAACATCGATCGCACTCTGATAATTATGACGCTAATTATCCCTTATTTAATAACGCTATAAATTTAAAATCCCTATGTTGAATTGAATTTCGAGCAAAACTTTATAAATTCCTCTCTTATTTTTTAGAAACATTATTTAATATTATTTTATTTAGACAATATTATTTTTTTCAATTAATCTTTTGCTATTTTTTTTAAATATACTAGTTTCTTAAGTTATGAAATTTAAAAATAAGACAAACATCACAAAACAAAGAGAAAGATTATTTCTATAACAAAATTGCCTTTCTGCGAAAACAACTTATTGTAAAGAAATATTATGATTGCATTGTTCTTGCGGAATATAACGGTGAAAGTGTACGAGGACAAGGTATGCTACGGAATTTACATTCGAGCAATGACAAACAAAGCAGACGGAATTCCATCGCAATTGAGTGACAGCCGTAACTAGAGAGTTTATTGCCCGTCTCATTGATCGCACTGGTTATCTTTATGCAATGTGGTTGCGTATGTCGCAAGATATAATTCTTACGCGACAGCTCTCGCCACGTGAGTGACCACGTTGATGAAGACAATGAACATCCGCTTTTCGCGAAATCTTGCCAATTGATGCAATTCTGAGACCGAAAGCAATTTTAATTCTGTCGAGCTTTCCGCTCGCAACACCGATCGATTGCGTACAATTATTTCTTAATAGAGATTGCACAAATGTGATTTAGGTTTACATTGTTCCCACGCAATATTAGTGTCATTAAAAAATTATTTATGTATTATTTATAATGTGCGTATTTCATGAAAAGAGAAATTCTATTATTTAAATAATGATATTCAAATATTCAATATATATAATATGTAATTATATAATATATAATTAATTAAAATATATGTGTCTGATTACAATACTAGGCAATTTTTAATGAGTGTGATAGTTATGGAAGATAAATGATTATCGAAGAAATCCGCAAAAGCAAAGGTCGCGTTGATAACATCGCTGATAGTATCGCTATTGTATATTCGACCACGAATATTTTTCTCGTGTCTTGGCCGAAAAGGAACGAAGTTCACCATTAGTCCGTGAGGTACCGGCACTGCCATGTAAAACGAACACCCAACCTCAGGCTTTCATTTCGACTTTACTGCAAAAGGCGATCAATCGATAGGCTCAATTCATACTTTTCAAGCGAAAAATAAGAATCTTAATATTCTAAAAATTTATGAATTATTTTAATAAAATATTAATTATTAATTAAATGATTAATATCCCGAGGGCTTTCGTTAATTACTTTAATCATTTAACGATTCGTGTATTACGCGATCTCAAATCTCAATCCGAATAGCAAATTAAATTTAGATCAGCGAAAAATTTAAAGTAAAATATATTCGAGTCCAAGCATTACTAGAGAAATAATTATCGTTTGTAAAAATTACAACAAAAGAATAATTTATAATTTTTATCCTTGTCCCTGTTAAATTTTTACTTGAAATAATAAATGATCACGTGAAATATAATACTTTGATAAAAAACTATTATTGCGATACAATTTCGTTTATAAAAATTTAATTAATCGTTTAATTAATTGTAATAATTGTAATAACGTGTATTTTAATAATTGTAATAATTGTCGAATTATAATTCCATATCTGTCAGGACACGTGTTTCGAAAAGAATGTGCATTCGCTCTGCATTTTGCTCCTGATATTATCTACATTGATGAAAATGGCATTTTATATGCTCGTATATTAACATCTACTCGTTTCTTCGTTTTTAATTCGCAAATCTTGATTACCTAGTCTTTCTGGGATATTTTTCATGCACCCGCTGCGCGCCCTCGCTTCACCGGGTATGATATACGAAATTGAAGCGTCACATAAAACAGATTAAGCTGACGCATAATGAAAGAGCAATTATCATCCATGCATGCATTCCGTTTATTTTATCATCGCGAATCCTGCCATATATATCTTGTATATTTCTTATTCCGGATACCATCGCAATAAGCGTCAGCATGTCATCGTGTTAAAAATTTAAATGGCGCAGGTATGCAACGGTGCACTCTGGTATGCATTCCGTTTCGAATGAAAAAAAGGAAGTGTCGGACCAAGTAGCTGAAGAAAAAGAATGATTCAGCAAATATATTTTCGTCAAAGACTTTCTTGTTTCTGCTTGCGAATTATTTCCGCGAATGGAAAACCAGCTTAAATCATTATCTTTTTTTGTTTTTAATTTGTCATAACTACTGTTCTCTTCCTCCCGTTTATCGCATTTTACTACCGATAATAATAAACTTGTCTAATGTATAATTTAAGATCGGAAAAAACAAATGCAATAATAAGTAGCCATCAAAAATTTTCTGAGATATTATTGTGACATAAATATAATAAAAGAGAGAAAGACATTATTGAATAATTGTATGTTATCTTCTTTATTCAATTCAAGCTATTATTAATAGATGCATGCGAAATATTCTTCGTTCCGCTATAATAATGGAATTGATATAATTAAATGTCACAGAGATTTTCAGTTCTTTTCTAAATGATTACAAATTGGCATAATTTCTCATATGCAGTCAATCGAAAAAGAGATAATAGTCTGGACTTGACTATTAGGGGAATAATATACACCGTTGTAATTAACTACAGAGCCGATACTGTATAATATAGCAATTTGATTAACATTGTAGTCGTATGTCAGTTGCATGATTTCCGTAACGAGAGAGAGAGAGTCAGGTACTTCTCTTTTCTCTCTTTTTCTCTCTCTTTCTTCTCTATATTTATTTCTGTATCATCGACAATCATTTACATCGGAGTTCTTCTTGCAGCAATGTAATTTACAGTGGCGCGAACGTAAATAATGAAAATTTCCGATCAAAGAGGGCTATCTTCAAGGTTTTCCTGTCACAGATAATCGGAGTCTATAATTGTCATCGGTTCGAGGTCTTAAATCAAGAATGAATCACGACGATCGCTTTGACTTTATTCAAATTATTTCGTCCCGATACCATCATCGTGGAGAGCCAATTATCGGTCGGTCCTGCACGATATTCCATTTGTAATTAAGTCATATGTGTGTGAAGTTGGCATCTCAGCATCTCACAAATAAACATCAAATTTTGTTGCATCCAGCATAGTTCTACAGTTCCTGATAGGTTTTAACAATAGTCGAATTAATTATAAATAAACTTTTAAAAAATGAGAAATGCTAACTTCCGAAAACATCCAACAGCATCTCATCATATTTCAAATATCTGATCATAAAGCAATAATATTCCGCAGAGTTCTATCGCCTACGCGCATTCTGTCAATAGTTCTGACGATTAAACTTCGTAGAAAATAATTTGATTTACAAAACATATTTACGCGTATAGGGATGAGACGCTGGTCGTAAGTCACAAGTTCTGGCGATTTTAATTGTTTTTTCTAGTA